AGTGACTGGGGCTTATAAACTCTGAAGACAGTCCATTCCACTTGGATAGAGCTGTGTTTGTTAGAAAATTTTTACCTCATGTTATCATGAAGCTAGGTGGCTTGGTTGATAGAGAACCAAACCTGGAGTCAGGGAAGCCCAAGTTGGAACCTGGCCTCAGATGCTTACTGGGAATGTGACTTTGGACAAGTATCTGCCGCAGTTTCCTCATCTGTAGAATGGAGGTAATAGTAGCACCTACCTCCCAGAGTTCTTGTGAGAATCAAATGAGGTAATATTTGTAAAATATTTTGTAAACCTTAATCACTACATAAATGCTAACTATTATTATTATTAATTATTATTATCATTAGTTATAACTCTTTGCCATGGGTCCTACCTTTTCCCCCTGGGTATAAATAGTATGAGTTTATTTCCTGTTTCATATAAAGACCCTTTAAATGTTTGAGCACTTTCATGCCCCTTATACATTTTCTATTCTCCAAGCTAAATAACCCTAGTTTATTCAACATCGTGATTTCTACCTCCCTCCTCTTTTTCTCTTCTCTAGACATCTTCCAATTTGTCATAATCCTTAATAAATATGGTACTCAGCACTAAACTGAGTCATTTGAATGTACTCTTACTATAACATCCCTAATTTTGGACCATATACTTCCAGTACACAAAGCGAGATTATATTAGCTCTTTTGGCTGTCACATCACATTGTTGTTGATTCATAGTGAGCTTGTAGTTCACTAGAACAGAAGATGTTGGCATGTAAATTGCTTTCCAGCCCCATCTTCTCTGTTTCTGCTCCATCCCCAGCATTCTATACTTGTGCAGTTTATTTTTGCACCCCAATGCACGCCTATACGATTACATTTGGATTTATTAAATATCATTTTAATTTCAACTCACTATGTCTGGATTTAGATAATTTTTAAACTCTAAATGTTGTCATCCTATTTACTGTACCATATTGTTTAATATCATCTGAAAATTTGAAAGGATGCCATTTTTGCCTTGATCGAAGTCATTGACGATGATGTTGAATAGAACATGGTGTCGGACAGAGCTCTGGGTCTCCCTCCACCAGGGACAATCTCTTTCCAGGATGACATCAGTCAATTATATAAGCATCTTTTGGGTAGAGTCATTCAACTGTTATGGATTGCAACATGCTCACATCTGAAGAGTTTCAATTCCAAATGCTCAATTTTTCTCCAGTTCTCTCCTCTGTTGTCAAGCAAAATATCAAAGTCTAAACCCTGCTCCGAATTGAGAACTGTTTGTATGCTTTAAGATAACTGTTGTGTCTCCTCCTATTCAGATTAAACATCCCCAGTTCCATTAACTGCTCCTCATATGACATGATCTTGAGGTCTTTCTCTATCTTGGTCAACCTCATCTGGACACTCTCCACTTCATCAATGCTTTTCCTAAAATGAGTCACACATAGGAATGAGTACAATATTCCAGATAATGCAAAATAGTGATACACAAGGGCTGAGCACAAAGGCATTGTCATCTTTTTGGGCCTGGAGGCTTCCCCTCTTAACAAAGTCTAAGATTATATTGGGGTTTCTGACTTTCATGGGATACTGTGGACTTATATTGAATTTATAGTCAGCTAACCTTCTACCACTTGATCTTATCAGACACACTATTCTCTTGCCATTCCTCTCCTATCTTGAATATCTGAAGTTGATTTTTAACTCAAACATAAGACTTTACATTTATCCTTGCTAAACTTATTTTCAGATTCAGCCCAAAGTGCTCATTTGTCAACATTCTTTCAAATTTTGACTCTGTAATGCCATTTGCAAATTTATTACTCATTTTATATCTTCCTCCAAGTCATTGATTGAATTTTTAAGAAGTCCAGGGCCAAGCACAGACTCCTGGGGCACTCTGCTAGAGATCTCTTTCAGAGCTGATATCACCCCATTAATGACTGCTCTTTGTGTCCCACTCATTTGGATAATTCCTAGTTTGTCATACTATACTACTATATAATCTAACCCACATCTCTCTGTCTTGTCTACAAGAACATGAGAAACTCTCAAATGTTTTATTAAAATCTCCATAAACTATATCTATAACATTCCCCTAATCTTCCAGTAAATTGGTCATACAAGGAAATGAGGTTAGCCAGGCATGTCCAAGCTCTTTGTGATAACTCATTCCTTTTCTAAATGCTTACTAACAATCCCTTTAATAAAACATTCTAGAATTTCCCAGAAATCAAAGTTAAGCTTGCCAGGCTATGATTTACAGATTCTACTTATTTCCTTTTTCAGAAATTGGGACATTTACATTACATTGAACTTGCAGCAATAATCTCATTCTCTAGACATTTCCAAAGATCATGAATTGTGGCTTCACAATCACATCTGCTGTGTCTTTCACTTTCCAGGCATGTACTTCATCTGAGTTTAGTCACCCCAACTTATCAAGAGCAGCTTGATGTTCTTTTACTGTCATCCCACTTATTGTGGGTTTCAAGTCACCATCTGCCATTTTTATTCATTCCTTTCTGATCAAAATAATCATTTTCCTTAGCAGATAAGCAGAAACAAAACAAGCTTTGAGTGGTTATGCCTTCTCTCTCTCTCTCATCTGTTGTAATTATCACATCTAATGCTTATGTGGATCTTCAGCTCTGGAGTTTTCATTTCTGTTAAGCTCATTAGCAATTTGACAGGTGCACCTAAACTCTTTTCACTTGCTTTACCATCTCCTTTCTTGTCCTTCAACTCAAGTTCTTTTTTTAAGCTCAAGACTTTTCTCTCAAGTCTTTCTCTTTATTCTTGAGTCCTCTCAAATTTCTGCTCCTCAAAATTCAATCTTCAGACTACTTCACAGTCCACATACTCTTCATATCCTCTTTTTCACATTTCTTTCTGATTCTTCAGCTTGATTCTTTGTCCTTTTCATCTTCACCCATTCTTCTCTGACCACCAAATGATCTCATTCCTACAAAGGGTTTAGAAACATTTTACAAAGACTCTAGATTATACCTAAAATATAATAATAATAGATGAGGAACTAGACATGTCATTTCATTGGTATAATGAATTCCCAGATGAGCAGACTCCATACTCCAAAGCAACTCCCCAGCAACTTATAGTCTGAGAGAATACTTAGAGCACAGAGAAGTTAAATGATTTGGCCAGCATCACATTCAGAGAATGTGTCAAAGGTCAGATTTCAATATGGGTCTTCTGGGGTCCAAGACTGGCTCTTTCTCTTTTACCTCCTGAAGCCTCTCATATCATCATCAACATCATCATTATCACCACCACCACCACCACAGTCATCATCATTAGCAGTCTTGTAGTGCTTTGAGATTTACAAAGTATTTGCTTCACCTGGTAAACCCATGAAGCAGGATGCATGAGTATTATTATTCCCATTTTGTGGATTAGGCTATAAGAGGTTAAATAAAATCACACAGTTAGGGCTGGAGGTCAGATGATTTAAGCCCAAAGCATTAGACTGAAATCAATAATCTTTCCACTATTCTATTGCAATTTTCAAACAAGAAACATCTTAATATCAAGAATTATTTGCTTGCTTTATCCTTAGAAATCCATTATCAGAAGATGTTTACAGTTTTTTAATTGTTTCATATATTTAAGGAAGTTCAATATCATTGCTTTATTACTCTATGGAATATACCCTTTAAGTTATCAATATTATTTACCATTATACATCCAAACAACCACTCAAAAACTTGCAAAATATGAACTAGGTTTTAGGTTTTTTGTTTGTTTTGTTTTGGTTTTGTTTTGTTTTGTTTTGTTTTTTGCTCACTGATGATAAATCACACATATGTATCACTTGGAAATTTACAAAATACTTATGAGTAATAATCTGAATTCAGGTGCCAAAACGAAAAAGAAAGTTTAAGTAAATGCCAAGTTCTGTGAAAATTATTTTGGTGAATTTCTAGCATTGGTTTCCATTCTATTAAAACATGGTATATCACATTAGAGAATTACTTATTAAAAATGTGTGAGAGCTAGGTCTCACTCTCAAATATTCTACTTTGATTTTGTTGTTACAATCCTATGTGTTACTATGTACATTCTGCCATAGAGAAAGAACCCCACAGTGCCTGCATCAGATTTCTGTTTCCAAATACAATTTATTCCTCCTTCTAAAGATTAAAGAGTATAGAAGAGGGGCAGCTAGGTGGCACAGTGGATAGAGCACTGGCCCTGAAGTGAGGAGGACCTGAGTTCAAATCTGGCCTCCTGAGACTTAATAGCTGTGTGACCCTGGGCAAGTCACTTAACCCCAATTGCCTCAAAAAAAAAAAGAGTATAGAATACTAAAGGTATGAAGTATCCTTGAAACTTTGCTAAGTTGGAGATGACCAAAGACTACTTTTTATATAATTTATAGTAGAAAAACCTAGCATTGTTTTACAGAGGCAGGACACATTAATAATTATTTGATTTTCAAGTTAGCCCTGACCTTATACTTAAAACATCTGCTTGTCAACATATTTCAGGAATGAGAGGACTAAGAAGTGAGATCCCTAGGAATGAGATCACTACTTTTCATTGTTGTTGTTCATTTTTTTTTCAGTTGTGTCTTACTCTTTATGACCGTATTTGGGATTTTCTTGACAAAGATAATGGAATGTTTTGCCATTTCCTTCTCCAGCTCATTTTCCATATGAGGAAACTAAGGCAAACAGGGTGAAGTGACTTTTGCAAGGTCACACAACTAAGAAGTGTCTGACGATATATTAGAACTCAGGGAGATGAGTCTTCCTGACTCCAGGTCTGATGTTCTATCCACTGTGTCACCTAGTTGCCCTAATCACTTCTTAAGTGAGTTATGTTGTTGGTTAGTTCATTTGGTGTTTTATCTTTTTCAGGTAAATTGACTACTTTTCTTCATGTTATAGATAGAAACAAGTTGAACCTGGTAAATCTTGATTTGGCCCCATGCTAAAGGGTTACATCTTTCTTCTTTTTTTCATACCCGATAATTATTCATGCAGGTACAATGGTGGGCGATCATACACGCTTAGAATTCCACAACATTGAAACGGGCATCATGACAGAGAAGCGCTACATCTCAGTTATCCCCTCAAGTTTCATTGGCCACCTGCAGAGCCTCATGTTTAATGGATTACTCTACATTGATTTGTGCAAGAATGGTGACATTGACTACTGTGAGCTAAAGGCCCGTTTTGGCTTGAGAAATATCATTGCTGACCCTGTCACCTTTAAGACCAAGAGCAGCTACCTGAGCTTGGCCACTCTCCAGGCCTACACCTCCATGCACCTCTTCTTCCAGTTTAAGACCACCTCAGCTGATGGCTTCATCCTCTTCAACAGTGGGGATGGCAATGATTTTATTGCAGTTGAACTAGTCAAAGGGTAAGTGGTTGACCAGCATATGTTTCATACTTGAGGTAGAAAGCATTGAACCAAAGTGGGTATTAAAAATAATCTACTTTGCTAATTAATTTCATCACCCTCTTTTTATCAGTCAGTGAATTTATTAAATGCCAACTATATGCCAGACACTGCTACAAACTGAGGATACAAAGGAAAAAATAAAACATTATTTGCCTTCATAGAACTTCCATTCTATCTGTGATTACTTTTGTAGGGTGATTAGGGGATCATTTAGGCATGGAAAAGTGAGGAACTCCATATATATATTTCCCAAGTTTACCATTGACTGAATACAGGCAACACCTCATTTTATAACTCAAAACTTTCCTAGAAACCACATTAAAAGTGTACTTTTGCATTCTTCTATTCAAGTATGTTGAATACACAGATAAATGAGGCAAGAAGTGAAATCAAATCCATCTCAACTTAATTTTTTAACATATGAACAATTTAACATATGAATATCTGAATAATTGTCTCAGACATAGACAAAAACATATTATCTCTTGGCAGTGGCTAGGGAAACAGGCGGGCCAATCCTTGGGGAGAAAAATGAGGAGGGTCACCATGGAGTAAATCAAGTGCTGAGAAATGTTCTAGGGGTATTTAGAGTTGAATATGGTCTTGTCCCTAGTGCTCCTTGCCCAAGAACTTGGGGTCTTTTCCCCCAACTTCACCCCTAATCCTGTCCTGCTGTAATCCCATTTGAGGCCACAAAGCCACCATTAATGATTTGGAGTTGGGAGAGTGGGACTCCGTTTCACCTGCTCATCACATTAATAGAGTAAGGAAGAGGAAATCACCCATTCTACCTTGTAGTAGAGGTATCTCATGCTGGGACCCAGAATACCTTGGCCACAGAAATATAGTTGGACATGGTGGTTGGGTTTCATGATACTTTTGCTATGTTACATATATTGTAGGGACAGGGAATATTGCTTGGTACCTTATATAGTTAGCTTGAGAGCCTCTCATGTATATAATATTGTTTCTGTGGTTAAAATGCATTCTCAGTTCCTACCAATGTACTTCTGGAATATAACCATCAATAAGTTGGGGACTGCCTGCCTTGGTGGTTATTAAGAATCATTGAGGAAAAAAAACAAACTAAAAAAAGAATCATTGAAAGTCTGGACAAAGGAACTTGGAAGCAGGGAAAAGCAAGGATTTGAAATCCCAAGTCAATGCCCTCATAAAATCCAACTTTGATGTCTAGCATGATGGGGAGGTGACTCTATAGTCTCGAGGACTACAACAGTAGAGCATAAGTCGTATTAATTTATTTCATGCTGGTAAGAGTTCAAGTATAGTCCTGGCAACAGGACTACTTTCTAAGCACCAGCTTGGCTAATAAAGAGAGATCCATCATCAATAGGCTGGCTGCTTAGTGATGAATTCTTTGATATGGCAGATCATGAAAAACATATGTGCTTTTATTCTTAGACTTGTAAAATAATAATAATAATAAAATAGCATTTATATCACTCTTTAAGGTTTGAAAAGCAGTTTACTTATGCTATTTAATCCTTACAAACACCCATAGGCAGAGGTGCTATTTTTATCCCCATTTGACAGATGAGGAAAATGCATTAGACAAAGATTTAAGTGACTTGCCTAGGTACTCTCAGCTAGTAAGTGTTTAGAGCAAGATTTGAGCTCAGATCTTCCTGACTCCAAATCTAACACTTTATTCACCGTAGCACCTTGTGATTGTTAAGTATTTTAGAAGTGAAAGACTAAAAGCGAGTACTGTGTTAATATGAATCACATAAGATCAAGTCATTGATTTGCAGACCGATGTATTGAAAGACCCTCTTCTGGGGATGGGAAATATTGCTTGGCACCTCATATAGTGTATCAGTGATCCCATTGTAGAATGTTAAGAAATAATCTGTGACTATGGATGTGACTGTATATATGTATAATCTATTTTATATGCAATTATTTTTATCATTTTACTATGATAAGCATATGCATATTTATGTGAATATTTTTATATATACAAGACCATTTTGAAGACCAGTATTTCATCAAGTAATTTTTTTTTGCCCTTCACAGCTATATACACTATGTGTTTGACCTTGGAAATGGTCCCAATGTCATCAAAGGCAATAGCGACCGACCACTGAATGATAATCAATGGCATAACGTTGTCATCACCCGGGACAACAGTAATACTCACAGCCTGAAGGTGGATAACAAGGTGGTCACTCAGGTTATCAATGGTGCCAAAAATCTGGATCTGAAAGGTAAATTCTATAGAAAGCTTGACCTTTCTAGCTTGTTTTTTTTTTTAATTTTACTCATTTTCAAAGGAAAACTGTATAGAAGTGAGATAAATTTATCAAGTTGAGAGTGATGCAACTATGTTGAATTATCACTCCAAAGTTTAATTCTTTCTTTTTTCTATTTGGCCATACCTCAAAAGTTGCTTGAATATTTGTAGCTGTGTGAATATAGATGTTCTGTAAATTTTTCATCACTTATCAATGTAGTGTTGGAGTGGTTACTTTTCAATAAAAGAAATTCTATGATTCAGAATTTAGGGATTTTAGCAGGCTTATGTATATATTTACTTGAAACATTCCCCTCCCCTCAGCTATATTAAATCTCCTATAACTAATTCAGAGTTCAAAGATTAGACACCTGGACTCATGTCCCTCATCTCCTTGACACCCACTTTTTTTTCAGGTGACCTCTACATGGCTGGCCTTGCCCAAGGCATGTATAGCAACCTCCCAAAGCTTGTGGCCTCACGGGATGGCTTCCAAGGCTGCTTAGCATCTGTGGACTTGAATGGGCGCCTACCAGATCTGATCAATGATGCTCTTCATAGGAGTGGCCAGATCGAGCGTGGATGTGAAGGTACTCTCTCTTTTAGCTGCACTCTGGTCCCAAGCATCAGCCTACCTGCTGCCTCTGCCAAAGCATCCTTCTTCTGTCCCTTCCCCCCCCCCGCACCTCATTCTCTCTTTTACTTTTTTTCAACCTCTCAGGTCTCATCATCATGAACATACTCATGCCAATGGTTGGGTTTAATCTATGACATGCCAAAAATCTCATAGAGTTGCAATGAGCAGATGTTTTCTATAGCACTGCATACTTGCCTATAAAGGACTTTGCCTGGCATCGGCATCACAGTACCCATTACTTCTACCTTCAATTCCAGAATGACTTAAAGAAGGACAGAAACATTATAACGACAATGAATTATTCAGTACAAATCGGGAGGGGGGGCAATCAAAATGCTACAAGCCAGTTACTTATCAGATATAGTCACATTGCGAGGAAGCTTCAAGTATACCTACACGGACAGCATAGAAAGAACTTTTGCTTCTGTTTCTCAAAAGTGATCCATCTTGTAGCCTTTCTGAGGAATGTCCAATTGTCAGTAACAGTCTCATATTCACCAGCAGAGGGCAGTGTTGAACACGTGATTCTTAGAGTGATCACTGGTTCTTAAGCCTTTTGGTATGGCAAAACCAACCCTTAGCTTTGAGCCAAACTTCAGGGGGACCCACACTCTTTCCAGACAGATAACCCAGAGATTTCATATCATACATTACTAGAAATGTTCAATGACTAATTCTAGACCAATAAGACACCATTTTTTGGCCATATGATTAATGCTGATCAATCTCTGGTGTTTTTTCTGCATTGTGCATTGTAGACATTTAATAAAACTGATAGATACTGAAAAGGAGTGTCTTTCTGTATATGCTTATAATCTATTACAACTATTTTTTTCTTTTGGGATGCCTTGGAATATTTCATAGATTTCCTGGGTTTCCTCAGAACAGTTTTAGAAACACTGCTCTAACAGATTTCATTACACTCTGGATCTCTGATAGCAAAAGGAGATTTTTCACCTAGGCTGCAAGACAAAGTGAGTGAGTCTCCATCAATTATCAAGATCTCATAATTTTTTCATTTAGCCTCATGTTGCCTTATTTATGCTAGCAATATATTCTTGTGGCCCTCATTAATTTACCTTCTTAAAATGTGCTGTTTCATTTCTTCCTCAGTATTCAATTCCATTCCCACCCACCCTTGATGTTCACTGGATGCTCACTCATGTCCATCAAGCATGCTCTAAAAGGCTTCTTGTCCACCCAATCTGGTTTGTGGTCATAGAAGCCATTTCCTGTATCTTATGAGTCAGTTTCCTCTACTCTTCAAATGAAAAGTCAGAGCATCCTTTCATCTCATTCTGTTTTTTTTTTCCTTTTTCTATATTGTGGTGATAAATTCTTTTAACTATGTATGGCAGAGAGATGGTGTGGACAAGGTGGAGAGGATTATAACTTAAGTACTTTTTTGGTATTGCTTGATATTCCTCTGTCCTTTAAATTTCAGCCTTTATTCTAACAAATGTTCTTCTTTGTGCCTCCTTTTACACCTTTTTTCAACTGAAACAGAATAACTTCATTGTGAACTCTGTCTATAACGCAGAGAGAGCCAGCATTTAGAATTCAGTGCCTGACCTAAAGTTTTGATTCATATAAACAAGATTGGATTTCCAATGATAAGTAGTTACAATGACAGTGGTGTAAAACAGATAATTAAATCAAAGAAGCTAATAAGTTTAAAATTATTATTAAAGTGCATGTCACTTTAAAATACAAGTCATCATCACTGATATTTCTGATTAGGAGCCATTCAAACTCAATAGTTTAAAATAATTAGAATATTAAAACATATAGGCTATATACAAAGGAATAAAACCTTGATCTCCTATTTGAGAGAATGTTGTTAAATTGTATTGTGAATTCTAAACAAAAATTTTTATATAGGTAATTTTTAAAAGCTGTTATCTTAAAGGTAATTGGGTACCATGTAGAGTATTTTTTAAATATACAACATAATTAATAACTCTGAGAAGAATGAAATTATCTATATAACTGAGAAGGACTTTTCCTGAATTCTACCATACAATTCGGCATGAAGTTTGATGTGATTCATGAAATTAATTATGGTGGGTTCTGACCTTCCTTTTGAGTATGGGTGATTGCTCTAAGCCGTATATGATGACTTGATGGATCAACTCCATGACAAGCTCTGTGGGTCTAATAACATTGCACTCTGTTGCCATGGAGATAATTATGATGGCTACATGTGCAGCATTATAACCTCCTCACTAGGTGGGTTGAAGTGGAAGATGAGCGCTAAGGGAAGAAGGTCCTTGTTTATTATACATAAATGACTAGACTAATTAGTTTAAGTGGCCAGGAACAGAATGCCTGAAAAGTGAATTAAGCCATAAATTGATGTTTTTGGAACTATGTACCATTTTGAAAGTCCCAGTAAGAGTTCCCAGGTGTTTCCATAAATTTGTGAAATAGAACTATTAAGAGTATAAGGAGGAAGGAAAGCCACCCTTTGACCCTTACAATGCATCTGCATGGAGACACACACATGCACACACAAACATGAGAATCTAAAAAGAGGGATTATTGTCATCTTGGGTTTTTCAAATTATGTAACTTGCACAATAACCTCATAAATGTTTTTAGATGTTAATTTGATGGGAACCATAGGAAAAGGTTCACGTTTCTTTTAATAGTGCTCATTTATAGAACAAGAGAAGGAATGGAGAGAATGCTTCTAGATAAACCCTGTATCTCATAATAATAAGTCTAAAGTGAATGTATTTCACTCTCACACCTATGGAGCAAATAGACTAAGACAGGTTAAATATTCTTATCATAGCCATTGGTAATGCCTCCTGTCACTTTTGTGACACTAGACAAGTCACCCTCTCAGGACCTCAGTTTCCTCATTTGTAGAATGAGACTGTTGGACTAGATGGCCCCTGAGGTCCCTTCTGGCTCTTTGGAACCTGATTTATGATCCTATGATCTTAATGGAATTGTTGACTTTTCTATTAATAATAAAAAAAAGGTCACTTTTCCCTCACTATCTCTGATTCACTAAAGAAAACAAGAGAATTAAATGATGATCTCTTGATGTCTTATAAAAAATAAATCAAGCTTTCTTTGGTATATGGCTCTCTTTAATTGAAGTGGACACATGGCATCAACCACATGTCTTCTCCTGCCAATACTCCCATTTTAATCACTGAGGTTGGATTTTTATCTTGTCTTTAATGGCTATTTTATCTTTAATGGCTATTCTCCTGAGGGATTATAGGCTCCCTTGTAGTTCTTCTAGAAAGACCAAGAACGACTGAGTGAACCATAAATGTTTTCCCACAGTAGTAGGTAGAAACTCTTTACATAATAATATATAAATGTTGGTGGTGCTGGTAGGTTGTGGGGGAGAGTGGTTAGGGGACATTGACATGGTAATTCCCAAGCCTCAATGAGATAAAATAAAGAGGCAATGGTTTCTGGCTATGGGTTTGAAGTTTTGCAGCAGCAATCTTATTTGTACTTAAAACCACCCTGAAGAAAAAACCTAGATGTGTTTAGTGTCCCCAAATCCCTTTGTGTCAACAGTTGAATAAGTGTGTGATTTGAGTACGACCTTCTTTGGTATCACTTGTGGAAGGGGCACCTTAAATGGATGCTTCATGTTTAATTTTTCAATGTTCAGAATTTTTGTACCCTTTGAGTCCCCTACACATCTCTCACCCTGCCCTGCCATGAAATTCTTCTTTTTTATTTCTCTTTGCTTAGCTAGATTCCTTGAAAACCATTTGCTCTTGATTTTCTGTTTTGGAGTTGCCATTGTGAATGTGAGATTGTTGCCCATTACTTATGCTTTGCTGTGTTTGGTTTTGCACTGCTCTCGCTTGGCTGACTTGGACACCATCTTGGCTCTTACCAACCCCCCTGATCCGTCTTTTTGTCTTTGAGTTCATTGGGCCAGGCTGTTTTTGCTCCATTTGTGTATCACCCATGTGCTTATTCATTGTATGACCTGGCTATGTTTGTTATGCTGATTGCTTTTCTTTTTCTGTAATGTCACCCTGGTTTAATCTGCCTCTTACTAACCTCTGGTTATTGTTTTCGCTTTTATTTTTCTGGTTTTTTTTTGCTAACAAAGTTGCCTTGACCAAAGCTGACCTGCAAGGTAGAGAAGGTTCTTGTTCCCATTACCACTTTGGACTGAAAGATGCCCTGTATAATTCCTTAGTATTTTTTCTTTGGAGGCTTCCATGCAGTCACACCTCTTGGTCAATAGGAATTGTGGTGGGTGGAGGTGTGTGAGCAGTTTGCTTTCCAGAAAGGAAGGCAAGAAGCAGAAGATTAAAAAAAAATTAAAAATGGCTTTATAGTTGGCATCAAGGGAATGGAGGAAGGCAGTATTTTGGTGACAAAAGAGGTTTGACAGCATCTTGTATAGTTACTATCTGTAAGTAAATGGGTCAACTTCTTGAAATGTTTAATGGTTTTTCAAATAGCAGCTATTAAACATCTAGCTGCCACTCTATAGATGAAAACCAGCTCTTACTGGAAAAGACGGTGCCTTGGGCTTTTGATTTCTTATCTATGGCCTCACAGAGGTCATTTACTCAGGTGGACCATTTGAATATATGGACCTTTGAAAGAGAATGTCATTTTCTCTAAATTCATTTGAGAGATTTTTAAAAAGTATTCTGGGGGATATGAATGCTATAAAATGTATTTAGTGATTTCTATCTCCCATTGAAGATATTAATATTTTAGTTGAGCACTTTTATTCCCTGTTTTGAGGTACAAAGTAATAGTGCTATTGGGAAAGAAAGTTATTGAATTTATCCTAAATATCATGTCTGCATGTTAGATGTCAGAAAACATCTGTGGCAGAAACCGCTTCACCGTACCATTCAAAATGACGCCTTCCAGAAATGGTTACGTACATATTGGTACTTAGGTCTCCTTGACTTAAAACACTCAGGCCTTTGTTGAAAGTTTTCCTTT